GTTATAGAACGCCGGTCCACTGGTCTAGTCGTTATAGAACGCCGGTCCACTGGTCTAGTCGTTATAGAACGCCGGTCCACTGGTCTAGTCGTTATAGAACGCCGGTCCATTGCTGTGTTGTTTTGATCGATAGGGATGACGAAATTTTTTTCCTTGACGCACTTTTTTTTATGACGGAAACTAAAACTGACAAGCTAAACATGGATCTTTTTTTATGAAAACTTGAGTTATCGTGTGAGTTTTGGTTGACGAGACTAAATAAAAATGAGCGGGTGATCAGTCAGACATTTAAAATGCATCATTGTGCTATAATCTGCTAAGCAGTATCAGCCGTGCTGCTGCGTCCTGTTTGAACACGCCGCCCACTCTGATGGTTCACTCTCAGCAGTACGGCTCTTCATGCTCTGGCTACTTAATAAACTATATGTGGCTGATCATCCTCTGCCAAGCATAATAAATCGCTTTGTCTAACTATCAAGATTTTATTTCTTCCAGCTCACAAGAGGTGATGCTAAACATTCTTTAATTTCTACCAAAGGAATCCCTTAATTAAATCCAAATCAAATATTTCATTTGATTCTGTTTATTTTTGGATAAAGATCCAGATGAAAAGGTAGATAGATCTTTGAATATTTCTCTCTCATTGTTCTCGTTTCTCTCTATTTAAATATAATGTAAATGCTTTTTTCACATCTTATGTGATACACTTTTTCTTTATAAAGTGGGGCATTAATTCATAAAAAAGTTTATTTGAATTCTATAAATTAAAGTTTTCTGTCCAACAGCAATGATGATCTACACAGCAGCATTCTATAACCAGCTATTGTAGCATCTAGGATAGAGCTGTTAGTCTGGGAAAGAATCTGGTTGTTATTCCAAATTGAAAAGGTTCAGTTTTTTGCATCATAAAACTGACTAAAACCTTTTTTGAGTTTCAGTCGACTAAAACTGAATCACATGTCGCAATGTCTAAAATGTGACTAAGACTAATTATAGTTTTCGTCCCGAAGACTAAGACTAAATCTAAGATGGCCCACTGGTTTGGTGGTTGGAGGACGCTGGTCCACTGGTCAGTCAGTGTTATTGAGCTAACATTTTTCCAACCCTGATTATCTTCAGTTTGAGCGTTCTTATAGGTTTGTTCAGAATAAAATGGTTGTGTTTGTTGAAGTCAACCTCGGTGATGTTCTTTCTGTTAGGTCCAGAGATCACAGATGAGCTGGTCAAGTTGCTTCGGAAGCGTCTGGATGAAACCACCTTGGACATAATCACAGTCATGCTGGTTAGGAACTGTAAGCTGACTCCTGCTGATGTGGAGGTAATCTGGGACTGTCCTACGAGCGCTGTCTGTCCTCTGCTGCTGCAGCTTGACAATGTTTCCTAATGTTGTTTGGTTAGTTTATCCAGCCCTCAGGATCGCCTGCCACTGGGATAATGACCTTCGTCCTGCCACAGTACTGCCTCTCCTGGCTGTCTACCATAGCCCACTACCTCAGGCAGAACCTCCTGATCTTCCTGCATGTACCAAAGTATACTGACAGCAACACAGCACATCACTTCAAGGTACATCTGCATGTATCTAAACCTCCTCATTGATGTCCAAACAGAAAATCAGTTTTCATGGAACAGTTCCTCCTGTACAGCTGCAGTACAAATAGGAATAAAAAAATGAATAGTGATAGTTTTCCAGCCCAGGATGTGAACCTTTCCTCAGTAGTGAGTGCATGAACCTTTCTGGTTCACGGTTTTATGGAAGTTCTTGATTGGAAACATGGTTTCCCTTTATGAAAACCATGATGACTATTATCAACAACCTCAAGCCCCCCCGATAATGTGTTTTCCAGGCTGATCTTTGTGGGCGGAGCCTAAAGGGTTGTCTCTGCTTCTGTTGTGTTGCAGCATTACTTTCCTCTGAGTGGCGACTCGGCTGACTCTGATATATACCTCTACAACAAGCCTGGAGGCCAGGGCACAGGAGGAAAGGGTAAGATGCTCGTTATGACCTGATGAGCAGCACACGTTGCCATAGCAACCAGGAGCCCTTTCTTCTTCTGTTTAGTTTAGTGGTGGCCTAGTGGGGAGAGCTGCACTCTGAGAAGGTTACCCCGTTCAACCCCTATTGCCTACACCAGTGGTTCCCAAAGATTTTCTTCTGTGCCCCCTTTGAATGACAAGGGGGCAAAAAATCAATCAACTGTTTTCAAACTCCACTGAAGTTTATTTCACACTTCAGGTTGCAACAAAACAAACTACACACCATCTTTACAGAGGAACACTTTTGTGTAACTGTATTTTTTTCATAGTTCTATACTGTAGATTAGAAGAGGATTCTTTGTTGTCTGTGTTATTTTAAACATATTTGTTTATTTTTTTTTATTTGTAACAATATTTAACTTTGCTATCATCAATACATTAAAAAAGCCTCTGTGAAAATGGAGTGAAAACATTGAACAGCTCCCTGAGAGTTTTTTCTTTGTACTTTAATCCTCCCATCTTTTCAGTGGCTGTAGTGAGCCTGCTTGTTTCTGCAGATCTTCTCAAATCTGGGTTGCAGTGTCACAACTGTCCATTATGCTCAGTCAAGCAAGCACTGTTTTTTTTTTTGTTTTTTTTTTCCTTCATTCGCTTCCCGCGCCCACCTTGCAATGGCATTACGCCCCCCCTAGGGGGCGCGCCTTTGGGAACCACTGGCCTACACTCTGGGTCCCTGGGCAAGACCTTTAACCCTTGACTGCTCCCCAGGCATCGCACAATGGCAGCCCATTGCACCCCAAGGGGATGGGTTAAGATGCGGTATTGAATTTTTCCATTGTTATATAAATTATGTCCAATTTCTGGTTATCTTCTCCAACCTTTAGCTGGTGCAGGGCCAACCCAACTTGACCAAATTAGCTTCAAACTGTTTCAACTAGCTTTGA